ATATGAGATAAGGTCCTTGATAAAGTCCTTACTCACTTATGTACTTGAAATAAATAATTTTAAGTTTGTAATTCAGATTATATAATTCTTAGAAATATGAGATAAGTTCCTTCATTATACTCTACTTATTAGAATAAGAACAATGAAAATTACAGTATTTATAATAATATAATCGAAAACATATAATATTCCTCATATAATATTTCATTATGGTATGGGAAGCTCCAGCAATTTGCCTTAAGGCATGATTCCATACACCACTAATTTAATTTTATCAATTCAAACATGTTTAAACATCAAGAAAATAAATAAGAATGCATATTTAAATTAAGTAGATCTCTATTTATAAATTAAGGGTCAATATATTTACAATTAAAACATAAATATTTACAAAACATCATTTATCAATTAAATTATACACATCCATTCAAAAAATGTGCACTAGGAACTGCTTCTGTTACCATAGGTGCACTCGGTACCTCTATATTACCATCGTGTATAGTCATATGTTCAGTCAAACTTTCTTCATCGAAGAAAGACGTCTGACAAATACTGCATTTAAACTGTTTATCATTCGAGTGTAATATTTTTATATGCCTAGCCATATCGCTTATATGTACAAATTCTTTTAAACAAATTTTACACTTCTGTTTTATCGTAGAATGAGTTTCCATATGATAAACAAGACCTGCTCGTCCCTGGAACCTTTTATCACAAATATGACACTTATGTTTTTTTTCATCGGAGTGCGTATCAATATGATACACTAAACCGGTTCGTCCTTTAAAAGCCTTCCCGCACAACTCACACTTGTATTTTTTTTCTAACGAATGGGAGTCCATGTGGAGCACCAGATGACCGGATAAAGTGAACCTTTTGTGGCAGATTTGACACTCGTGTGCACGTTCTCCTGTGTGTATTTTCATGTGGTGCCCCAAGGTGCTTCTTAATTTAAACGCTTTATCACAAACAGTGCATTTATAATTACGGTCTTCAGAGTGGCTTTTGATATGATGCAATAAATAACTGTGGTGGGTGAATGCACGTCTGCACACAGGGCATTCGTGAGGCTTGTCATCAGAATGTGTACGCACGTGCCTGGTGAGGAGATTTTTGAATTTAAATGTTTTTTCACATAAATCACATTTGTATCGCTTTTCGTCGGTGTGCGTTTCCATGTGTCTTAACAAGTCTCTAGGTTGTTTGAAACGTTTTGTACAAACAAAACACTCGTGGGGGGTTTCTTTACTGTGTATTTTTATATGTTCGTTTAAATTATTCCTACGCTTAAAGCCTTTCCCGCATTGATCACATTTATATTGTCGGACTGTGGAGTGACTTACTAAATGACTGTGTAACATTCCTAAATGTTTAAAACCTTTATTGCAAACCATACATTTGTGAGGGCCCTCATCGGTGTTAGTTTCAACCGGTTCAGACTTGACCATGCATTTTTTAATATGAGATTCATATTCATAGGTTAAAAAAGTTATAAAATCACAGTTTTCACATTTATACTCTGTATCTTCTTGTTCTAGGGTGACTTCAGGCTCAATTTCAATATCAGGATTGTTATAAATAACTTCAGCAGGTTCTTTATTATGTATTTTTTTGTGTTCGTTTAAATTGTTTCTTCGTTTGAACGCCTTATCACAGATATCACATTTATAACGCCTCTCTGTCGAGTGACTTACCAAGTGACTATTCAACCAGCCTAATTGCTTAAAGACTTTATTACAAAACTTGCAACGCAAGTGCTCAATGTAATCTTCTTGTTTAACAACACAATTTTTAGCATGCAACTCGAACTCAAAAACCAGAAATGTTGTGAAGGAACATTTTGCACATTTGTACTCTACTTCTTCTTGTTGGAGGGTAATCTCAGGCTCGAATCCATTGTTGGCGACAATCTCAGCTTTTATATCACCAGGATCGAATTCTAATACTTCACCAGTAATAGTAATACAATTTAAATCTTTGTCCGAATTCTGTAGGGCCACTTGTACAATTTGTTCAAGATTCCCGGCCATATCTTATTCTATTTACAATTTTAAATCTCTGTCTGATTTCTCTAGGACTACTTGTATAATTTGTTCAAGATTCCCAGCCATATCTGGTTCAATTTACAATTTTAAATCTTTGTCTGATTTCTGTAGGGCTACTTGTACAATTTGTTCAAGATTCCCGGTCATATCTGATTCTATTTACAATTTTAAATCTCTGTCTGATTTCTGTAGGGCTACTTGTACAATTTGTTCAAGATTCCCGGCCATATCTTATTCTATTTACAATTTTAAATCTCTGTCTGATTTCTGTAGGGTTACTTGTACAATTTGTTCAAGATTCCCGGCCATATCTTCTTATTTACAATTTTCTGCAATAGGTGGGTAATGTCTTCTGAAGGGGGCCCATTGTTAATAAATATACATATAAATATTTAGTATGTGTTATAAATGTATACTATGCTATAAATAAATAGAGTTTTAATTTAATTTGTGTCTTCATACATTTTTGTTTCTTTATAAATAAACATTGTTTGACAGATCGACGCCATTTTAATTTATTATGGCGGCCATCTTTGAAACGAGACTAGATCGGGAAAAATTTGCGACTTGTGTTAATACAAATCTAGACATTTATGAGTTTAAAAAAAAGAGTGCGCGTAAGGTTCACACGCGATTGAAGTAAAACTTATTTGGTACTGTACAAGATGGCAATTAAGTAAAAATAAATACATCATATAATAATTTTGAATAATGTTTATTAATAATATGGTAACACTCGTGATGCAAATATTTATTAGTGTCAACCATTATACACATTTATATAATGATGAATTATAAATTATATATTTATAATAGAATTAAAAATATTTATAATATTTGAAAACAATAATGTAACTAAAGTCTTACTTCAAATATGACATGATCGGTTTGTCATTGTAATTAGCATTTAGGACTCAAACCTTCATTAGAGAAATGAAATAATTGCTGATTAATAACTTCTATAATATTTGTTCACACAGTAGATTATGTTAAAGAAATGTTGTTTTCACAATTTCACTCATCATATAATAATTGTGTTTGAAGAATTTCATGTAATTAAAATTAACATATATTTTTCATTGACTGCTTGTACTTTTTCGCTGGCGGTATAATCTCACTCTTTGAACAGTTGTAATATCTGTTTTGTCTAAAAAATATTTTCCATTTCAATAACTTCAAAGATTTATAGAAACTACGAATAATATAGAAATTATTCCAATAAACTTATGATTCATACACGGCGCAAATGCTGCTTTGGTTTTATTATTTTCATTGTAATTATTTACGGGAGACAGGGTAAAATATTCTTCTGATTCAGACATTTTTTATTAAATCAAGATTTAATTAACTTTAAAATGTTTATTTATCTATGCCGATTTCCTTGTTGATATCGGTACGCTTACAACGTTGACGCCGGTACTCATACAACGACAGATCTCTATTCACAAACGCAACAACTAATCACAATCGACCCGCATAAAAATGATATCATCGAGAGCAAATGACGAATCATTGGCACTTGACTTTTATCTTATCTTATCTGCCGTAACGCACTTCCGTTGCATGTGTACGAATTTACACCTTAGTCGCGCCTAGAGAAGTTTTACTTCAAAAATATTTTCAAACCAGTGTTAAAAAATTCATTCTGAAGCACATGCAAAAACCTTTAGTTAAATTAATGGTGATTAATATAATACATTTTAAATTTAATTATAAAATATGTTTCTTAGCATCATGGTTTAAAATTTTCATTAATGGCTTAAAGTGTTTCATTTTACTTAATAGATTTTCAATAAGATTTTATGCATTTAGATCTTTAAAAAAGTTGTAAATGGTTACTTCTGTAATAAAAAAAATCATAAGCAAATTCTATTTATTAAAATATTTTAAAAAAATAAACACTTTATTTGAGGCATAATTTGTGATTGCACTAGTGCTGTATTAAAGTGCGTGAGATGCTGAATGGGATATTTCACTCGAAGATGCACCAAAGGGTGCATCCTTACCTAACAAACGAACAGGACGTATAATATGCCAATTGTTCACTTTCGATTAAAGTTTTTAGTCTGCGCATATTATTCATCATGCTCGTTCGTTAGGTGAAGGCGCAGTGCATCTTCGAGCAAAATATCCCATTCAGCATCTCACGCTTCTTAATACAGCTCTACAATCAATCACGAAAGATACGAGCGCGAGATGGAATATTCTCCATCTTGATAACGAGATGTAACAGAATCGCATTTTTTCAAGTAAAACTTCTTTAAGCGCGACTAGGGTGTAAATCCGTACAAATGCAACGGAATTAGCGTTACGCCCGAACTGTACGTCATTTGCTCTCGATGAAATAATTTCAATACGGGTCGATTGTGATTAGTCATCGTGTATGTGAATAGAGATCTGTCGTTGTATGCGTACCGGCATCAACATTGTATGCGTACCGATATCAACAAGGATATCGGCATAGATAAATAAACATTTTAAAGTTACATCGTAGTACAAATCTTGATTTAATGAAAAATGCCTGAATCATAAGAATAGAATACCCTGTTCCTTGAAAATATTGATTAATAAGATTAATGATTAGTAAGTTTATTGATTAGAAATTACATATTTCTATATTATTCGTAGTTTCTATAAATCTTTGAAGTTATTAAAATGTAAAATATTTTTTAAGCAAGGCGGATATTACAGATGTTCAAAGAATGAGATTATATCGCCAGCGAAAAAGTAAAAAAATACAAGCAGTCAATAAATGTATGTTAATTTTAATTGCTTAATAAGTTTAATCGCGTGTGAACCTTACTCGCACTCTTTTTTTTATTTAGATTTTTATTTATATGAATAACACTGCTTTGCATGATTGGGTGCAGCTAGTACATCACTAAAAAGCCAATAACATTCTTTAAAATTTATAAAATTTGTAAACTGTAGATGAAAAAAGAGTAGAAGTGGGATGAATATAAAAAGTTGACTGAATTAAAAATTCTTCTTTGTGTAGACTCTGATGAAGGACCATTTTTTTGTACATTTTGTAATAAAATGTTTTCTGATGCTCCTGGTTTAAGCAAACATATTATATTGAATATATATAAAAACTTAGGAACATTGCTAGACACTTTGTTTAAGTTTGAACCTTATTAAAACATAATTTTAACATTTTACAATTTAGTTAATTTATTTAATTTTCCATTATTGGTTTTAGTTTCACAAAGTGGAAGCACCCTCTGCGCCCAATCAAGATGGCGCTGTTACAAATCAACTTAAAAGATACATTGATTCCATTCGTCCAAAATCTAAAGATAAACCAAGAAATAGATTTAATGTTTCTACAAGACATTTTGGATTTGTTTTTAACATTTCAAAGGACTATGAAGTTCTAAACACCAGTTCTGTTTACGATATAGATGATTGCCATTTGGTGCCTTTGGGCATATCTGCCTCAGTAATGGGTAAGATGATAAAGCACTTATGAAGAATATGTTAAATACTTAGCTGTATTTATAATAATACAAGTTGATGATAAATAATTTATTTGTCTTAGCACTGAATAAAAGTGTGTGTCGTTGGAACGAAACAGCTTTGAACAAAGTCATGATTTCTGGTGTTAAGCTTTATACAGAATGGGCCCAATTTTTTGATGGAAATGGACAAAATTCTCAAGATTATGGGAACCTGAAGAGTTGCAAGTACTTATATTCTAATATTGATATCTATTTATCCATTGATTCAACTAATTTAGGAAAAACAGATCACACCTTTGGAAGTTATGAACTTTTAAATGCATCTTAGAACTTTTTTTAGCAAACTTATTTAGTGTAGTATTACTAATGAAATATAGTAAGTTTATTCAATTTACAGAATCCAATCCAACACTTACGATGTTGGCATAAATCGCAGACACCAGCAAGGATACTTCACAGCTGAATGTTTACCAAGTGCTTTCGAAAAATTCTTTCACAAAAACGATACTGGCGTTTTCTGGTCAAAAATATTGAAATTTGTCATGATGCAGAGGGATAAAAGGTAAAACTAACAATATAATAATATAAATAATTAATGATAATTGTATTTTTTTTTGTTTTAGGTTTTATTATTTAGATTTCATGTCTTCAAACTCTCCAAAAGTTTATCGTTTTGATGATCTGTGCAAGTTTTTTAATTTTGTACTTGAAAAGTGTGGACAAGAAATTGATTGCAAATTAGCAAGGTTTTATATTATACATATAAGTGTTGTTGAAAATTATTGAAAAATTATAAAAAAAATTATACAGTAATAGTTTTTTGTTAATGAAAATCCTATCATATCCTTTTTTAAATATAATAAATATTTTTATTGATTAATATAGATTGTTAGTAAAAAAGATAAAGTAAAAAACAAGAATCTTTTTAAAGGTGTATTATTTTGTTATAATATATATTTGAAGTCTTTTATAGCCCAATAGTCAAATTAAAAAAAACATTAAAATAGTATTTTTTTTATTTTATTAAACGTGTCGACACTAAATGTGTGTCATCATTCAGTAATCTAAAAAAACATATTACATAAATAATATAATAGTTGATATTAAATATAACAATAAAAATATAAAAAAGGAAAAAAAACAGAAAAATTTTAATTATGTAAAATATTAAATATAACAATAAAAATATAAAAAAGGAGAAAATTATATAAATACCAAACCAGGAAAACAACAGAATTTTTTTTAATTATGTAAAATTTATTGAACACTAAAATTGTGTAAACGAATAATATACTAATATATTAATAAACGAGGAACGCTCAATAGCAGTGCATTATGAAAACTAATCAAGGTTACGCAGCACGTGTGGTGAGTGAGTGAGAGCGGGTTGTGAGAAACAAAAGAAGAATGAGAAACAGAGAAGGGATATAACAGACAAAAGATTCTAACGCTGTAAAGAATTATTTTTCATGAAATTTATAACGACTTTGTAACTGTCATGTAAGAGATGAGAGGAATAACGGGATATAAGTAAAGACTCAACTATCTTTCTAAGGTCAAAGAACCTCTCTCCCGCTCCTTCACTACACTAGCTTTGTAACCATGATTAGTGCCCATAATGCAACGCTATCAATAACATTAAATATAGGAGGTCAATATGTGCTCCTTCAATTTCTCCTTTGTTAATATAAAATTATATTATTATTTTACACAAATTTAGTGTTCAATCAAATTTACGTCATAATTATTTTTTTCTGTTGTTTTTCCTTTTTTGGTATGTATGATTTTCACCTTTTTATATATTTATATTTATTATCAACTTTGTATTTATGTAATATGTTTTTTAGATTACTGAATGATGACACACATCAAGTGTCAAAACGTTTAATGGAATAAATCATTTTGTTATTTAATCTTTTTTTAATTCAACAATTGGGCTGCTATATATATATATATATATATATATATATATATATATATACACGTATATATATATATATATATATATATATATATATATATATTATTAGGGTGGTCCTTAAAATGGTCATTTTCGAATTTCCTTGCTCCCAGGGGCTCAAATGGTTCCAAATTGATAAAAAACAATTCTCTGAAAGTTTTAGCTCTTAATATTAACGTTTAGATAGAGCGCAATTCAATCAAAGTTTGTATGGAAAAAGCATGGAAATTTTTTTGAAAATTAAAAAAAAATGTTTTAGGTATAACTTAGCGACAAATGAATGAGTTTTATTCATTCATTTGTTCGCTAAATTACATTTAAAAAACATTTTTAAAATTTTTGAAAATTTTTCCATGCTATTTCCATACAAAACTTTGATTGAATTGCGCTCTATCTAAACGTTAATATTAAGAGCTAAAATTTTCAGACAATTGTTTTTTATCTATTTGAAACCATTTGAGCCCCTGGGAGCAAGGAAATTCAAAAATGACCATTTTAAGGACCACCCTAATATACATATATAGAAGAATATATATATATATATATATATGTATATATATATATATATATATATATATATAATATATATATATATATAATATCAAATAATATCTGATATAAATAAATTAATAATGATATAAATAAAATTGTTATAGCAGCAGAAATTTGAAATAACAAT